GAGAGAGAGAGAGAAATGTGAATTAAATCCGCGAAATGTCACCTTTTACTATCACATGACCTGAAATTGACAGCTTACTTCCTTTGCATTTTGAGTTAGTCAGTTAATACTAGTTAATCTTGTTGGAAATATCATTGATGGATGAAGCATGATGATGGATTACAAATTCTCGCTCAAAAACAGTAAACTTAAACATTTGCTTATCACTTATCATCTAAACGTGAATTAAAAAAAAAAAGAAAATGACGCGAAGTGATTTTGAAATACTTCAATTTGATACAATTTTATGTAAAATATCAAATGAAAATCTCGTTTTTTTTTATTTGTTTGCACTGAATTATTTAAGCAAATATGTTAAGCATATTGATGGTAAGGAACAGATATCACTTGTGCGTAATGATCGTATGAAATGATAATCATTCATGGGATGAAGCTTAACTGAGGACAGCTGACGATTTTGATGATTAAGCATTTGCTATTATTGTTTTGTTGTTACTGGCAAGAAGAGGTAGGAAAACAGGGAGATGTATCGCTTCAATTTCAATCTCTACCCACAAGAGGTTTGCTGATTTGATGTCACTTCCTCAGATTTACCATATCGTCAACGTTTTCTTTTTTTATGCAAATTTTTTTTTTTACTTTTTCATTTAGTTGTCAATAAATTTTTATTCAATGATTTCATTAACGTTGTTGGGTACATACATAAAGGAGAGAGATGTTGAGAATGCTTGCGGAATCATTTCAATCATGATTTGATTGTTTCTCGCTTCTGCTTGCGGAATCATTTCAATCATGATTTGATTGTTTCTCGCGTCTGCCTGTGGAATCATTTCATCCATAATTTGATTGTTTCTCGCGTTTGCTTGCGGAATCATTCCAATCATGATTTGAATGTTTCTCGCGTCTGCTTGCGGAGTCATTTCAATCATAATTTGATTGTTACTCTCGTTTTCTAATTTCTTTTTATCTTTTGGTTGGGGGAGGAAATTTATCCTTTCTCGATAATATTTCTATTTATGTTAGCTGCTAGCAGTCGTTTATCGTTTTCTGCTAAAATTTCATGGTATTATATCAGAAATTTAATATTTCTTATTAAAAAAAAGGCTGGGGGTGATTAAAATTTCAAGTTTTATTATGGTTTTAAAATTTGGAACTTTTTTTTTCAAGCTACAAATGTGACAGTAAATTTTTTCTTATAAACCAATGCTTAAATTTATTTTCACTTTAACAACATCAAGTTTTAAAATTTCAATTTTCAATTTTCAATTTCAGTCATTTTTTTTTCAATGAGCATGAAAGACGTGGGAAAATAGTCTTTTTTTCTTTAGAAATTTTTTTTAAACGTCAATTTCAAATTGATTGGTGTATGAAGGAGTATGAAAGTAGATTTTTTGGTTGAATTAATCAATCCTTCCTGTCTGTGCATTGCTAAATTATCATTTGCATCAGAATGTAGTTCTTAATTTAATTGAAGTTAGCGAGAAGTTTTAAGTGATTTATTTTAATGCACTTGAATGAGGTTTTAATATAGAGCGCAGGGTCTTTTTTTTTCCCTTGTCCAATTCATCTCATTTTCAGATTTTCTTGAAGAATGCAAATTTCTAAAAGTTATCCCATGTCATTAAAAATTTTGACGCGACAGAAAAAAAAAGAAAAAGCCCTCTTGCTGATTAAATATCATCCAAAATTTAAATCTTGCAATTGAGAAAATGACCTAATTGAAAATTGTAATTGGTTAATTAGTCTTGATCGCATACATTGTTCGAATAAATTTTATATTTTCAAATATTTATAATCAGTTAAATGAATTTCACAGATATAATTAATCTTTTTTTTTGGTTTTTTTTTCTGAATTGAATTAAATGGACAAACCAACAAAATAGCCAAATGGAGAAATACTTTCTTTTTTTTTTCGTCTTTTTCTTCGCATATCGAAATGCATTTATTTTTAACAAAATTATTCTGATTCATACAATTTTAACCAAATATTTTTCATTACGAATAAAAGCTTTTCGTTTTGTTTACAATAGAAAAAAAAAAAAAACTCCGTTTATTTTTGGGGATATTTCCCATTTCTTTGCATAATTTTTGGGCAGAAGAGAAATAAGCAAAGAAATAGAAGAGAAATAGGAGGAATGAATAATTCGTTCTTTTCTTTTTCTTTTTTCTTTTTTGAAATTCAAAGTTTAGAAATATTTGGAAATAATTTTAAGCGAAAAATTGAAGCACAGTTAACCGAAGGATTTGTTCATTTTCTTCAGTGTAATATAACCATAAGAAAAAAGGAAGAAATGAATGAAGGAATGAATGAATGAATGAATGAATAAAGGAAAGAAGGATGGAGAGGAGTTGACAGGAATAGAAGAATAGAAGTATTATATTTGAGGGGCCGTGATATGTAGTGGGAAAGTTTGAGCACTTTCTTTACATCCTATAGCTTCTTTTTTTTTCCGGTATGCATTTTAATCATCGTTGAGAGGGTACTTTCGGGCTTTTATGCCTCTAGCCATACACAAACATAGATGGGCCTCAATTTAAGGCCTTGTCCTTAAGCTGCTTACTACTTTCGTGTCGACAGGCAATATGCTTAATTGGCGTTAAATCATGTTTATTTTACATAATTTCTGCATTTGCTTTTTGTACAATTTAAGCGTATATTCTATTCTAAGGAATATCATTTTTTTTTTAATTTTTTTAAAATTTTAGCTACAAGAAAAATTAAATTTTCAAGAATCGAGAAACTTTCCACCTGTTGTATCAGTAAAATTCCATTAATTTATGCTGCATTTTTTAAAAGAAAATGTCAGAAATTGAATTTTTTTCATTTTTTGCTCAAAAATTTTTAATAATCAAATTGAAAGTGTTTCATAACCAAATGGATTAAATAAAATGATTCTGCTTTTGCATAGTTTTTTTTTTTTTTTTAATCTCACAAATGAGAAATAAAAAAAAGCTTTATCTCCTCTTTTATCATTTCTTTATCAATAAATAACAAAGTGTTATTTCAATTTAATCTTGCCTTTCAAAAAATGAAAATTGATATTTGACGTTAAGATGAATTCTCGTAAATAGAACAGATCTAAATATAAACGTTGACCTTTGATTATGATTAAATCTTTCACCTATCTGAACTCATTGTTACTTATCATATCTTGCTTATTTTTTTCGTCGATTCGAATCCCTCATAAAATAATATGAAATTGAAATTAGTGGAAAAATATTTGATCGAAATTACAGCAATGTTATGTCTATTGATTTTAAATTTTAAATATATATAAAAGTAATAATTTCAAGTGTTATTGTATGGAATGGATGGGATTGAAATCGAATGGACTGATTGGTGTCTATGTCAAATGTATTTTCGGTCCAATATCGGTACATTCATTTCTCTATAACCTAAAGTTAATCAATTACAGATACTCATTTTAATTTAATTTATTTCCAATGCTTAAATATGCTAGATATATGTATATTACTGCAAGTATTAGGCTACGAACATTGCGATTTAGATTAAATAAACTACAGGAACGATATAATAAGCAGATTTTTAAAAAATTCAGAGAATCAATTTAATGTTGCTACTACTAGTAGTTTGACCATTTTTAAACTGCACTGTTATAACACCATTATTTTTATATATAGTTTGACATTTTTAAACCTTGATACTATAATATTATTTTGATCAGAGACTTGGATTATTCATCTCTTTGTCATGGATAATAATAGTATCATCTTTTTTATTCTTCTGTTTTGTTTACTTTTTCAATCTAAGATTTAACCTTTGGACTTCAGATTTAATTATTTCTCTTATTTTGTTATTTCTACTCCCTTTTTTTTTGCAAATTTTTTGTTAATTTATATTTTAATATTTTTGCAAAATAAATTTTACATGTACATATTTTGTCCCCCAAAAATTATCCTCAAAAAGAGAACATCAGGTAATTGCGCGATTAAAAACATCTTCAAACTTCTTCAAGCTCATTAATTCATCATGTGGAAATGATTAATGAGCAGAGGATGTTTTATTGAAGCTCATTAATTATTTCCGCATGATGATCACTTAGTTCAAATGTAAATCATCCTACTATATAATATATCCACTGATTCCATTGCAATAAATAATAATCAAATCAAAGTTTAAATGGCTTTTCATTCTTTTTTCTGAAACTTTCAAAGTATATAGCTATTAACCTGATAACTTCGCATTCAAATCCTCAAACGCTCTATTACCAGTTGAATTGTGAATTTTCGAATTTTAATTGTCAAATTTAAACAAATAATCTCATTCTGTCATAATTTTTCTCAAAAATGACTCTAAAGATGGCTTCTTAGAGACGTAAAAAAGTAATAAAATACATTTGAATGAAGATTTTATGTCATTCTCTACAAATAGATTTGGAAAAAAGGTTCGTCAACTTCAATAATGTGCGTAAGTCGGCAACTTTTTAAGGCTACTGGTCACATTCGGTCATTATTATAATAGTATTAATAGTAGTATTAATGGTCGAAAAGCATTTACTTAGCGTTTGAAATTACGAGGTTAAAGTTTTTTCATTTCAAGTTGCAATGAAATTTCTTGGTGGGTCCTGACAAAAAATCTACTTTGAGCAATATTGATTAATTAAGAAAGGAGATAGTTGATCAGTTAAATGTCAGTTAAAGAAGACAGTTGATTAGTTAAAGGTTGACATTTTGAAATTCCAACTGACATTCATTTATTCATTCAGAACTGGGTTAACAAGTATTTTGTTAATTCAAAGTGTTCGCAAAAGTGACGCTCATTGATCTGTCATCAACAAATGAACTTCATGCGAGGTGTGAAGAAATCAATTGTGGGTTCAAAAAAAAACACGGAACTAACTCTAAGCATCTATTTAACTTTCAATTTTCAGCTATAAATCAACCTTTTTGATTACAATGTATTTAAGAGATCAAGGATTAAGGATACGTATTTCAAGGACATTTCAAAATTTTCAAATTTGCAATTCTTAAATGAAATTATTTTTTCAATTTCTACAATACTTATTGGTTAATTGCTTGAAATATGTACGTTAAAAAACCAATTCCCTTTCTTTCTTTCTTTCTTTCTTTCTTTCTTTCTTTCTTTTCTTTTCTTTTCTTTTCTTTTTTTTTT